CACATTCACTCAACTACCATACTTCTGTGACTGTTTAGCATATCTAACTGTACCCAACTTATATTTAAAATAAAAAAAGCCTGACTTTTAAGTAACTAGAGGAAAATAGACAAGAAAATGTTGAAAGTCATCAAGGCTACTATAGAAAACTATTCTAAATCCTCCTTCAACAGCTAACTAATCTGTGGCTTTTTGTTCTCCAACAGGCAATTGTAATTAATGTCTAGTACATCAGAGACCCTACTGGAAAATGGCAGTCAGGGATGTTATCTACATTTCAGTGGAGTTACTCTTCCCATAACTATACTTTTGTAGCAGTCAAGACTCTAAAGAAAGTCCTACTAAATATGTTTTGAAGCCAAATAATGCATTTGCATGTTAATCTATATTAGTACCTTCAATGTGACATTAAAATTCCACTTCTTGGGCTGGGAAGGTGGCTCAGTGGTAGAGCGCTTGCCTTGCATGTCTGAGGCCCTGGATTCGATTCCTCAGCACCACATAAGCAAAAAGAAAAAACCCAGAAGTGGCACTGTGGCTCAAGTGGTAGAGCGCTAGCCTTGAGCTGAAGAGCTGAGGGACAGCACCCAGGCCCAGAGTTCAGGCCCCACGACCGGACCCAAAAATAAATAAATAAATAAAGTTCCACTTCTCTTGCTCCAAAATAGTTAAGAATTTTCCTATATTACCCAAGATTATAATTCTATTTGGAGACAATTTCAGACATCATTTTGGTTAATATTAAATCTCACTTAAACACCATTGCCAGGTGCCAGTGACTTAAGCGTCCCAGGAGGCTGAGATCTGAGGATCAAGACTCAAAGTCAGTCCGGGTTTAAGAAAGTCAGCAAGGCCGGGCGCTGGTGGCTCACGCCTGTAATCCTAGCTACTCAGGAGGCTGAGATCTGAGGATCGCGGTTCAAAGCCAGCCCGGGCAGAAGAGACCATGAGACTCCTATCTCCAATAAACCACCAGAAAACCGGAAGTGGCGCTGTAGCTCAAGTGGTAGAGCGCTCGCCTTGAGCTGAAGAGCTGAGGGACAGCGCCCAGGCCCAGAGTTCAAGCCCCACGACCGACAAAAAAAAAAGAAAGTCACCAAGATTCTTATTGCCAATTAAGCACCAGGAAATGGGAAGTGGTGCTATGGCTCAAAGTGGTAGAGTGCTAGCCTTGAGCAAAAGTGCCTAGGCCCTGAGTTGAAGCTCCACAACTGATCCCCCCCCCAAAAAAAAAGTAAAATAAAATAAAAAGCACCCTAATTCCATAGGACCTGGATTCACTACATTCACACTCTCAACACAATGCAGGGTATCCATCCGTAGCAGTAGAATGAGGATGCACAGATTAAAATCTTTAAAATTTCAATTTGCACAAAATCTAATGTGAAAGAAATCTTATACTATGACGTCGGGTTTATTATGTTACTGTGCTTTATCTCTGGAGGACACTTTGTTATGGCAGTAGGGAGAGTATGTACCATGTGATTTATACATCACTGTTTTAAAGCAGAGAGTACATCTTTCTTAAGGTATCAACAGTGCTTGCACCAGAGTGCTGCCGTGCATCAAAAAGGCACCTTAGGCTATTTTAAACTGTCAGAGGAAATAGCAACAGCTCTTAATGTACTGTACTTTTAAGCCATCTGGACATGTCCACTTAATAAAAGCAATGCATTGATTTTCATAGCCTAAAGGTGTCCAAAAAATCCTTTGAATGTAAGGTATTTTATACTAAGACATTGTAATCCTCTGACAAAAGCATTTTCTTCAAGATCTTTACTTGGGGTTAGTTGAAAAACTAGAGGGATTAATCCCAGGAGACATTTCCACTAACACCATATCTGTCCTTCCCCTTAGCAGAATTTGGGAACACATGGATCTGTATAATAGCACATGTACTGTTTGAGAGAAGGGAATAAAAAGGCGGATTTATTTTCTACCAACAATAGCTCCAGTAGCTTTCCATAGAGGTCAACATGAATCTATTTAGCCGGAGAGAAAAGCCATGTGGCCTAATATTTGACAGGTAGTGAAAACCAGGCATGACATGCTATTAAGTCAATGCAGATGTCCAATAAAAATATGTACCAAAGAGAATATATAATGTAGCCACAAAATCAGGAAAATAACAAAATCAAGATCACGCCAATGCCAATTACAGGGTCTCTGAAAGGAGGCTTCAACATGTTTGGTTTCCACAAGTTAAGATGCTAACATTAACTACATTATTTCTTCTGAAAACCATCTTTAAACAAAAAGAACATTGCTTAAATTGTCCAGATTATATATAATCATTCCCCACCAAAGCCAAGTAGACTTTCTTTTTTTCTTTTATAGGTGGTAGGGCTTGAACTCTGGGCTTGGACACTATCCCTGCACTCTTTAGCTCAAGGTAAGCACTCTACCACTGGAGCCACAGCACCACTTCTGGTTTTCTAGTGGTTAATTGGAGATAAGAGTCTCACGGACTTTTCTGCCTGGGCTGGCTTTGAACCATGATCCTCAGATCCCAGTCTCCTCAGTAGCTAGGATTACAGGCGTGAGCACCAGTGCCCGGCCAAGTAGACTTTCTAAAAAAGAAAGGCAAATTCCAGGTCTGAAGCAAACAATATACAAGATGAGCCTAGAACATCTTACACTGGGGAGGTAAGAAAGCCATGGAAGCCGACAAGGTCATGCAAAAAGACTCAGAAGTTATGCTGATGAAATATCATCTGACTGAAGATGGTACAATTTAAGCATTAACTACAATATATACTAGCTATTTAGAGAAAGTTTTAATTTTTTCCCTTTGAAGGACACAAAATAGATATGGAGAGTAAATTTCCTTAGATGTTATCAAAACAGTAGGACTCTGTACCCCATCAGTTCATTTACCATTTAAAAGTAAATGAACTGTGGCTCAAGTGTAGAGCGCTTGCCTTGAGCTGAAGAGCTCAGGGACAGCACCCAGGCCCAGAGTTGAAGCCCCACGACCGACAGGAAGGAAGGGAGGGAGGGAGGGAGAGAGGGAGGGAGCGAGCAGAGGAGAGGGGAGGAGAGGGGAGGGGAGGGGAGGGGAGGGAAGGGGAGGGGAGGGGAGGGGAGGAAGGAAAACAGTAACCTCAGTAGTCACTATTGAAAATGTGCTTAAAAAGAACTTAAAAAGAACAAACAATTATACACACACATATATTACAAGGACTACTGGGTCCTGTTTTCAAGACAGGATCTTATTACATAAGATCAGATTGGACATAAACTTGAGATCTTCCTACCTGAGCCAGATTACAGTAAGCATTACAAGCATGAGAAACTGCTGCAAGCTGCGAAGTGCCTTACTGTCAATGGACAGATTAAAGTGTTAATGCATCATAATTCCAATGAACTAGTAAATCAAGGCATTAAGCCCTCAGGTTTCTGATACTCAAGCAGATACTATCTGCTTCTTGGAAAAATAATTTATCTATGAAGAATTCAGGCAAAAAACAAAATAAAACAAAGAACAAAACTTGAGTAGAGAAAGCCTCTAGATTATTGTTTGGTATTTTGAGATAGGGTTTCATTATATACTCAAGGCATGCTTTGAACTTCAAATATCCCTAGGATTACTTATATGTTCCATTATACCCAGCTAAATTTCACATGAAGTAAGATAGTTTAATCATACTATAGATCTAGAGTTATGTGGTTTAATAATTAAGGCTCAACACTAGCCTTGAGCTGAAGAGCTGAGGAATAGAGCCTAGGCCCAGAGTTCAGGCCCCCTGACCAACAAAAATAATAATAATAATTCAGGCTCAAGATATGCACTATGGAAAGTAGCACTGTGGCTCAAGTTGTAGAGCGCTTGCCTTGAGCTGAAGAACTCAGGGGACAGTGCCCAGGCTGAGTTCAAGCCCCATGATTGGGGGGGAGGAGACACACTACGGTACATATATATTATTTATGTTATGCTTGGAGATGAGTATCCTCGAGAGAGAGTGTGTTAGAGCCAGGTGCCATAATCCTAGCTACTCAGGAGGCTGAGATCTGGAAATCACAGTTCAAAGCCAGCCTGGGCAGACTCATATCTCCAATTAACCACCAGAAAACCAGAAGTGGCCCTGTGGCTCAAGTGGTAGGGGGCTCACTTTGAGCTGAAGAGCTGAAGGACATCACCAAGGCCCAGAATTGGAAGCCCCATGACCAACAACAACAACAAATAAAAAGGTGTGTTAAAGACAGCCCAGCTGGTAGACCCAATTATTGAGATGACTGAGTTGTGTTGGCTCTGACTGATAAATTCATAATCTGATGTCATCATTTGTGAGGTTCAGTTAAGAGGAAGCAGATGACTGGGAAGCAAATCTTTCTTCTTCTTCTTTTTTTTTTTTGGTTAGTCCTGGGGCTTCAACTCTGGGCCTAGGTGCTGTCCCTGCACTCTTCAGCTCAAGGCGAGTGCTCTACTGCTTTAGCCACATCACCACTTCCAGTTTTCTAGTGTTTTATTGGAAGTAAGAATCTCACGGGCTTTCCCGCCCAGGCTGGCCTTGAACCGTGATCTCAGATCTCAGACTCCTGAGTAGCTAGGATTACAGGTGTTAGACACCAGAGCCCAGCTTGGAAGGCAAATCTTGACTCTCCTTTCTCTCTGTTTCCTGGGTGACCTGAGATGAGCAGTCTTCTCAACCATACAACTCCTGCTACCATGGTATACTACCATACCACAGGACCATCATGGAGCAAGGCAAATGGACTGAAACTTCTGAAACACTAGGCAAAACAATTTTTTTTCCTTTTAAACTTTTTGTCATAGCAATTTAAAAAAATCAATCTGTAATAGTTTTTAAAAATAAACCACAAGTTGAGCCAGCCAGCTTGATTTTACATCATCTGTGAGGAACATGAAATATATTCAATTCTAATGACTAAACAGCTGTTAAACATGTTTCAAAACCAGTACAAAGTATACTAGAAACACTAAAGTACTATACAGTAACGGTGGGGAGATAGCTCACCTCAGGTGATGTCACACTTACCGTAGTGTCATTGCTGGTAACATAAACCAGGACATCAGAGGAATTCCTGCCATTGATGTAGCGGTAACAATTCCAAACACAGCTAATCAAGTAACCCTGAAATTAAGTAGTGGATACTGGATTTTAAAATTTGAAACTATGGACGATACAAAATACCATATATAGACAACATAAAATATAAAACAATATAAAATTTTTATTTACAATATTAAGTTACATTACAGCAAATTATATTATTTACATTTACTTAAACATGTTAGCTCTGCTAAGCCAACAGCCCTTATATTGCAAATGTTGAATACAGGAACTTTCTGGCACAATCTTCCATTGTATAGCCCTAATCTAGGAGAAACTTAAAAAAAATAAAATAATTACTTCACTACAAACATGTATTACTCCCAAAACAACAGATCAAATTAATCAATTTAGCATGGCACTCTACCTATTTCTTTAGCTATATTTTGAGAAGCATTTGAATCAGACTGTCCTGAAAACTCACAATCCTTCTGCCATATCTTAATTGTGTGGTTATCTATAGTTTGATCTATACATATTATCCTTTTGAAGAATAAAAAAAGACTCATATATATTTATTTCATACCCTGAAAACAAAATTACTGGAACACTCATTTCAAAATGAAGTATCAAAAGAATATAGGAGCCAGTGGCTTACACTTGTAATCCTAGCTACTCAAGAGGCTGAGATCTAAGGATCACCATTCAAAGCCACCCAGGGCAGAAAGTCCTTGTGATACTCTTACCTCTCCAGGTAAACACTCAAAAACCAGAAGTAGCACTGTGGCTGAAAGTGGGAGAGCCCTAGTCTTGGGCAAAAGAGCTCAGGGACAGTGCCCAGGCCCTGAGTTCAAGTCCTACTACCAACAATAACAACAACAAAAAGCTAATGTTAAAAAAAAAAAAAAAAAAAGCCAGGCACCAGTGGCTTCTGCCTGTAATCCTAGCTACTCAGGAGGCTCAGATCTGAGGATAATGGTTCAAAGCCAGCCTGGGCAAGAAAGTCTGAGAGTCTTATCTCCAATTAACCATCAGAAAACCAGAAGTGGCGCTGGGGTTCAAGTGGTAGAATGCTTATCTTGAGCTGAAGAGCTCAGGGACAGTGCCCAGGCCCAGAGTTCAAGCTCCACGACCAACCAAAAAAAGAAAGAAAATTGGAATACAGTGCAAGTTCACAGGAGAGGTTTTAAGTCATGACATAATTTTACTCTAATTATGTGTAACTAGATTAGAAATGCCTCAAAATTTCTTTCTAGTTCTAAAATTTAGCAGTTAAACCAGATTAAACTTCCCCCAATTTAGGGAGAATGTATAATGGTGAAGCCAATTAGAAAACTGGCAGATCCTCTAATCCAAGTTATCAGATGAAGTTAGAATTCCACACTCGCGGGCAAATTTTGCATGAGTGTGCAAAGAAGCATTATTCATGGTGAAAAAGTGGGAGCAAACCAAATGTCTATTAAGAGAAGGTACTGTACCTATACACTAAAATATCATGAAGGAAAATAAGTGAAAGGAGCTCACCATGAAGAATCATATTTGGCAATTCCTTTGTAAAACCTCTGTGCTTACCTTAAATGTCAGGATAATGCTGATAAACAGAAGAATAATAAGAACCAAACAGGTAGGATTTACTGACATTATGTCATCTCTGTAGGGAAAATCAGGAGGCTGAAAAAGAATGAAGCCTCATTAATAAGTTTCATTAATCATTCAAGATAAGTCCTTAGGTAATAATTCAGAAGTGCTCTCAAAAAACAATTGTAGGGGCTGGGAAGATGGCTCAGTGGTAGAGTGCTTGCCTTGCATTCATGAGGCCCTCAGTTCGATTCCTCAGCACCATATAAGCAGAGAAAGCCAGAAGTGGGGCTGAGGCTCAAGTGGTAGAGCGCTAGTCTATAGTTGAAGAGCTGAGGGACAGCTCCCAGGCCCAGAGTTCAGGCCTCATGACCAACCAAAAAATAAAGCAATTGGGAGCCAGGTGCTGGTGGCTCTGGTGGCTCATACCTATAATCCTAGCTATTCAGGAGGCTGAGATCTGAGTATCACAGTTCAAAGAACCCAAGCAGGAAGGTCTAAGAGACTCATCTCTAATAAACAACTCAGAAAAAGCTGGAAGTGACTATGTGGCTCAAGTGGCAGAACACTAGCCTTGAACACAAAGAGGCTGAGGGATAGCACCTAGGCCCAGAGTTCAAGCAAAAAAAAAAAAAAAAAAAAAAGGATTGGATAAAGCACAGTTTGTATATAGGATCAATATTGAACTCTCACTCACTTCTACTTATGAACAGGCTACAAAAGGTGTGACAAGGAAAAGCCAGTAAACAAATCAAAGAAAAAGTCAGTGATGAAAACATCACTTTACTACAGGAAGTTAGAAGTCAGCAGCAGTCTGACTTCCTCTAAGTTCTGTTGATTATAGAAGGTGTGAGGAGCCAGGAGATGAAGGAAAGACCAAAGCAAGATCCAAGTCTGCTATGAACAATGGAAGTGACAGGACTTCTAAGATACAAAAATAGCCTGGTCCATGCTTCAGTGTCTGGCCATGACTCCATCTCTTCTTCATTACCCAATTCTGTATGTTTGGATTTTGCATGAGCAGTAATCTTGAGAGTTAGGGAAGAAAGTTCAATGTGAAGAAAATGGAGAAGCTGGATGCCAGTGGCCATTTCCTAGCATTTAGCATGCATAAAGGCCTAGGTTCAATTCTTAGCACATGATGGTGGTGGTCGTAAATGAGACTGAAATTTGGAACCATTTCCACACCAATGATGGCACTGCTTTACTACAGCATAGTAGACAGCAGAGCACCGGTGGCTCACACCTATAATCCTAGCTACCCAGGGGGCTAAGATCTGAAGATCGGGGTTCAAAGCCAGTCTGGGCAGAAAGTCTGTGAGCCTCTCATCTTCCATAAATTACAAGAAAACTGAAAGTGGTACTGTGACTCAATGTGGTAGAGTACTAGCCCTGTGCAAAAAGAGTACAAAGAGCACAAGCCCTGAGCTCAAGCCACACAACCAGAAGAAAAAGTGGACATGGTATGTACATAAAGTTGGAATCTATAAAAAAAAGGCAGTTATTTGAACTATGTTTATAGGGCTCAATATAAACAGATAAAGAAAACAGCATCAGCATTAAGATGCAGTGCATTTACAGCCTTCTCAAATAATAGCTTCCATTTCAGTCTGTTAACAGGGGCCTCCAGATCAGGGAATTTCAATATTCATACTCATTACTGTCCCTTAAGCAACGCAGGTAAGGTACAGGCCTTGCTATTAAGAGCCTAGACTGATTTGTTTTTTCTTTTTGAGACACAAAAATCTGCAAAGTGTATGTATGTACTTATCTCTAGACCTATGACCCTTAACTAGATTACTAAAGTCATGACAGAGGCTACTGACGGTCACATACCAGCTGTCGAATGTATTCCCGAATGGAGTTTGGATAAACAAGCACAGTAACTGCAACCAAGGTATTCAGGGCAAAATCGAAGATCTGGTAACAGAAGAACGGGATGATCCAGGCAGCATGTTGCTAAACATGACAAAACAAAATGTTAATGCAAAATATTAATTTGTTCAAAGAGAACTTTTACTAATCTAAAGGATGTAGAGGAACTGAAGATAATTAGCAACTGGTATGCCAAATGGCAATCAGTAATAACAAGACTGAGTTGAGTGTATCTGGAGTTTAACATTGGTTTTTCCCCTTTTTCTAGTACTGTGTGATAGTGAGAGGCTTCTGAAAATTTTTACAGAAAACAGACTACTTTATCTTGCTCTAAATAATTACACTGATGCATGTGGAAAGACAGGTAAAAAAGCCTGACCTTGTATTATAGGTGCTTACCTTGTATGCTCCATAAGTAGCCATTGCACATATCAGGATCATGAGAAGAGAAATTGCAATAGCAATATACATGTCTGTCAAAGGTTTAAAAAAAAAGACAATTAGATTTACTAAATAGGCATTTTTTAAAAATCTCTCCTCACACCTACTGTTTATAAGCCAATTATAAATGAAAACTTTGCCAGGTGCTGGTGGCTCACGTCTGTAATGCTAGCTACTTAGGAGGGCTGAGATCTTAGGGTCATGGTTCTACAAAGCTCATTAGCAAAGCCATCCCGGGCAGGAAAATTCATGAGAGTCTTATCTCCAACTAACCCCCAGAAAACCAAAAGAAAGTGAAAAAGCTCAGGGACAGAGCCAGGTCCTAAGTTCAAGCCCCACAACTGACAAGACAAAAAAAAAATAAATTAATAAATGAAAACTTTATGGTAGGTAAACTTCCAGAGTTCTTTTAGAATCTGAGTATGTGACAGCTAATAGAGATAAAATGCTCAAAATATGCTCTCTCTAAATCACATACATGACTGTAAGATATGAGATTATCAAAGAAAGATACTAGTTACAGATATCCATAAAAAGTTTGGTTGTTTAGGGCTCAGTGGTAGAGCGCTTGCCTTGCATGCATGAGGCCCTGGGTTCAATTCCTCAGCACCACATAAGCAAAAAGAAAAAACCCAGAAGTGATGCTGTGGCTCAAGTAGTAGAGCGCTAGCCTTGAGCTGAAGAGCTGAGCAGTGCCCAGACCCAGAGTTCAGGCCCCACGACAGGACCAAAAAGAAAAAAAAAAGTTTGGTTGTTTAAACACTGAATCCTAAGTAATTCATTAATTCAGGTGTATGTTTTTAGTCATATAAGTAACAACTTAAATAAATTTCTACATTTGTACCAATTACAATTATACCCTCATAACTTCCTAACTTATTTGAAACAAAAATCTCAAGATTATCTCAGCCATGGTGTCCCAGTTTATTCTCAATTATGCCAACTTATCTAATCTTGCTTTGTCATTCCTTGTTAACACAATCTAGCCACACCATTTGACAGCAAGGTCACACTATCACAGGGCCTTGTATTTGCAGCTTCATTTTCTTTCCAATGATCAGAAACCCCTCCCTTTTTAATTAATAAGGTTTCCACTGCAATGTTAGCACCTCAGAGAGCTTTGAGTATTCTAGTTAGCACAGCCCTCCCTCCAGTTATTACTGCCTAATACCTTATCCCTATTGTTGCTAGTATATTGTTTGCTTCTTTCCAATACAGTAACCTTCTTGATAAAGAATTTTATCCTGGTCACAAATCCACCATCTAAATGAGAAATGTCCCTACAGTAGGTATCAGCACATATGGGCATATAGGGTTCATGTAAACTGAGATACAGGGTAAGATGATCATACACTCTAGACATCAAGGATTGTTATCAGAGAAAAATATGTAAATAAACTATCTCATTCATGATTCTTATACTGATTATATGATAAAATGTCAATATCTTAGATATATGCTGAGTTAATTTAATCTGATTTACTTTGCCTTTTTAAATGTGGCTACTAGAAAACTTATCTCCTATTTACATTATATTCCTACTGAACAAGAAAGTATCTAGTAGGAACTGAACATTTATTTCTTCAGGGGTTCATATGTTTATGTAAGCATGGCAGACCAGGTTTCTAAAGAGTACCAAAAAACAAACAAAACAAAACAAAAAACCCAAACCATGCAGTTAAGTGTCTGTACTTCTTAATTTTTTTTAATATATTTTTATTGTGAAAATACTATACAGAGGGATTACAATTACGTGGGCAAGATAATGAGCACATTTCTTATCAAGCATTGTAGCCTCCTGCTTTGTTTCTCCTTCTTGTCCCTTCCCATCCCTCCCTGCCCCCTGACCCCCCCCATCAAAGTTGTAAAGTTCGTTTTTCGACATAACGACTTTGTACTTTTTAATTTTTAAGGAATTTCCAAAAATATGTTTCAGTCTTCCTGGCTCTGAGATAAGATGTTATTGTTCCTACTGAGTACAGCTGATAAAAGCAGAGCTCTGGCTGGCGTTGCTGGGCGTCCGTAGTGCAGGCCTGTAATCCTAGCTACCCAGAAAGCTGATATCTGAGGATCGCAGTTCAAAGCCAGTCTATAAGATTCTTTTTTTTTTTTTTTTTGGGGGGGGGGGGGGGGGTGGTTCAGTCATGGGGCCTGAACTCTGGGCCTGGGTGCTGTCCCTCAGCTCTTCATCTCAAGCCACAGTGCCACTTCCAGCTTTTTTCTTTTTGCTTATGTGGTGCTGAGGAATCAAACCCAGGGCCTCAGGCATGCAAGGCAAGCGCTCTACCACTGAGCCACCTTCCCAGCCCTGAGATTTTTATCTCTAATTAACCACCAGAGAAAACAGAAGTGGTGCTGTGGCTCAAGTGGTAGAACACTTGCCTTGAGCTGAAGGATAGTGCCCAGGCCCAGAGTTCAAGCCCTACGACCAACCAAAAAAAAAAAAAAAAAAAAAAAGGTTCACACCTATAATCCTAGCTACTCAGGAAGCTGAGATCTGAGAATTTTGATTCAAAGCCAGCCTGGGCAGGAAAGTCTGTGAGACTCTTATTTCCAATTAGCCATCAGAAAACCAGAAGTGGAGCTGGGGCTCAAGTGGTAGAACACTCCCCTTGAGCTGCAGACAGTGCTTAGGCCCAGAGTTCAAGCCCCACAACCAACCAAAAAAAAAAAAAAAAAAGCTCAATGTTGGGAATGAACCAACCTGAGCTGTTGTTTCTATGGGATTTTTCTCCAAAAGCAATTATGGTTTTAAAACCATCCATTCTGTCTCCTTAACTTCAGAATTGAGTAAACACTTAAGCAAGGGTTACAAACACTAAAGCAGATTCACAAAGCACACTCTAAGACTAAAATGGGAAGATCATTTATCATCTTAAAAAAGCTAAGGTGGGCTGGGAAGGTGGCTCAGTGGTAGAGTGCTTGCCTGGCATGCATAAGGCCGTGAGTTCCATTCCTCAACACCATAAGCAAACGAGAAAAAAAAAACAGAAGTGGTGCTGTGGCTCAAGTGGTAGAGCGCTAGCCTTGAGCTAAGAGCTGAGGGACAGCGTCCAGGCCCAGAGTTCAGGCCCCACGACCAGACCAAAAAAAAAAAAAAAAGTTAAGGTTTGGACTGGGAAGGTGGGTCAGTGGCAGAATGCTTGCCTTGCATGCATGAGGCACCACATAAGCAGAAAAGGACAGAAGTGGTGCTGTGGCTCAAGTGCTAGAGCACTAGCTTTGAGCTGAAGAGCTGAAGGACAGCACCCGGGCTGAGAGTTCAGGGCTAGTACCCAGGCCCTGAGTTCAAGTCTAGGAGTAGCACAAAACATTAAATAAATAAATAAAATTTTTTAAAAAGTTAAGGTTCTTTCAATTATCTATGGACTTAATGAAATAAATTGCAAAGCAATTGTACAGATAACTCAAAACAGAAATAGTTTTTCACAAAAATGAAGGCCATCTATGAGCCGGTGGCTCATACCTGTAATACTAGATGCAGCTACTCAGAAGGCTGATATCTGAGGATCAAAGCCAGCCCCGGCAGGAAAATCCATGAGAGTCATCTCCAATAAACCACCAGAAAACCAGAAGTGGCACTTTGGCTCAAGTGGCAGACTGCTAGACTTGAGCTGAAGAGTTAAGGGACAGTGCCCAGGCCCAGTGTTCAGGCTCCATAACCCAAAAAAAAAAAAACTCCCTTTCTTTTCTTAGACATTTTGTCACAACAATGAAAGAAATGGAGAAGAAACAGATGCCTAATAGAAGGCAAATAACTTGTCCACAGGTACTCAGGTAGTACATAATAGATGATGATCTATCCTGGAAGTGTAACCCCACAGCCAATATTCTTAGCCACTCGGCTACCTACTATGAATGAGGCAGACCAAATATGGTAGTGGAGGTAAAAGTGCTGGGAAACTCATAAAAAAGGGAGTTAGATATCAGTATGTACTATTATCTGCAAAGCTTATTAGCATTTGATGCAATCTCTGAAACCTAAACTCAGGAAGAAGCTTATTATTTTCTTCGATACTTTGATAGTTTCCTAATTCTGTGTAGGCACATTTTTAGCAAAAACAGCCCATTACAGTTTAAAGAATGACTGGTTTATTAAGTTTTAAAAGTAAGATAAGGGCTGGGAATGTGGCTTAGTGGTAGAGTGCTTGCCTACTATTCATGAAGCCCTTAGTTTGATTCCTCAGTACCACATACACAGAAAAAGCCGGAAGTGGTGCTGTGGATCAAGTGATAGAGCGCTAGCCTTGAGCAAAAGAAGCTCTGGGACAGTGCCCAGGCCCTGAGTTCAAGCCCCAGGACTGACAAAAAAAAAAAGATAAAAGCAGAGTGAAAGCTTAATTTAAAAGAATAATTGGGCTGACGATATATCAGTGTATAGATCATTCTACTGCTTGCCTATCATGTACAAGAATCCTAGGCTGGGGGCTGAGAAGGTGGCCCAGTGGTAGAGCGCTTGCCTTGCATGCCTGAGGCCCTGGGTTCAATTCCTCAGCATCACATAAGCAAAAAGAAAAAAGCCAGAAGTGGCGCTGTGGCTCAAGTGGTAGAGCTCTGGCCTTGAGCTGAAGAGCTGAGGGACAGCGCCCAGGCCTAGAGTTCAGGCCCCACGACCAGACCCAAAAAAGAATCCTAGGCTGATCTCATACAAACAAAAAAGGGAAAGAGAGAAGGGGAAAAAAATGGTCCAGCTCCCCAATTTCTGTATCAGCACCTAAAACAAATCTGCCTGATTTTGTTGAACAAGTAGAGATAATTCAGCTCAATGATAAAGTGTGTGCTTAGCATGCCTATGGCCTTGTGTTATATCACCAGCATCAAAAAAGGAAAAAAATGGAAAGGAAAAAAAAGAAATCACAAAAACATCAGGCTCTATTCTAAAAATAATAAATAACACTCCAGAACTAAACTATAGCCTGGTGCTGGTGGATCACCCCTGTAATCTTAGCTACTCGGGAGGCTGAGATCTGAGGATTGAGATTTGAAGCCAGCCCAGGCAAGAAAGTTCCCACGAGACTCTTATCTCCAATTA